GGATGAGGGAGTTGGGCGATGAAGTGGCTATTCGGTGCGGATGTGCTATATCAATGACTCATGGATTACCTTGTGCATGCACCATTCACCGCGTAATTACGCAAGACAGGGCGTCGTTACATGTCGATCAGGTTCATCCATTCTGGCGGACGCTCGTTATCGGAGAGCATGCTGTTCCGCATACGGTTCACCGTGAACAGGAGGAGTTGGAGCAGTTTCAGATGATGTTTGACCAAGTGTCCTCCAGTCACCCTTCGATCATTCGTAGTGCTACACACATACTTCATGACATGTTCAATACATCGTGTTTGGATACCGAGGAACCGGAAGGGGTCGAGCGACCTAGGGGTCGACAACCACGGCGGAACAAGAGTGCGTTTGAGTACATTCGCGGTCGTGGCCGTGGCCGTGGCCGTGGTCGTACATCCTCATCAAGTGGCAGCCAATCATCGTCGTCGGTGAATATGCCCGGCACCGGTAAGACATTCGACTTCAATTTCTTTTGTTGACTGTTTGATTAGTTTACTGTTGACTTGTTTATTGTGTTTATTGATGTGTGTAACAGGGAGAATGGACATTGAACATTTTCCATATAAGGACAGGATCCCTAATATCATGATGCCATTCTTGGACGGGTGGAATGATGTCATTGCAGATGGTAACTGCGGATTTCGGGTTGTGGCGGATGTGTTTCAAATGGGTGAAGACAACTACGGTTTAGTGCGGCAGTTGATGTACAGTGAAATCGCATCAAACCGAGATGTGTATGGCCATGTGTACGGCGAGGACTTGGATAGGTCTCTGCAGCGTATCCGGTGGGGAGGGGGACCTTGCGGTCAAAATCATTGGTTCGATGCGCCACTTGATCTCTTTGCCGTTGCAAACATCTACAAGTGTGCAGTCATGCATTTCGGCCTTGGTTTACATAGTCGAGCCTATTATCCATGTACAACGGTTCTGCCCTGGTGTTCGCGCGAGACCGTCACCAGACCGGTAAGGGACGTTGCTATTGGATTTCTTGGGCCGTCATACAGACATTTTATCCGATTAGACATGTCACCCGATTTTCCGGTCCCAAATATCATACCGAAGTGGTATGAAATTCGTAGAGCAAGCGTGGAGGGTTGGGATGCTTTGTACCATGCTCGCGTGCAACAGTGGAACAATTTAATTGCCATGTAGTTTTTGTTGATGTACACCTACCTTTTACTATGAGGCCTTGTATTGTCAATACTATGTCATTTCTATGTGTTCATTTTTAAAAGATAATGTTTCATTTTAAAAACTAACAACAATAATTTCAAATATTACAAACTAAAATGATAATATTGAATTTTAAAAACTAAGAACAATAATGTCAAATATTACAAACTAAAAAGATAATGTCTAATTTCAAATATCAGTAATCCCTCTGTGACGCCCACTGCCACTGCTCAAGGGTCCGTTCCAGATCGTCAATAACAGCTCTGCCTGATGCACTCGTCATGCAGTCCCTTTCCTCAAAAAGTCGGTGTCCCAACTGCATAATCTTGCCCATCCACTACACAAAACAAAAAACATGAAACGACGTATTATACATATATATATTAAAATAAGAGAACAACAAATAAAAGATGAGACGTACCGCATAAGAGGCAGTGGCAGGTGGCACATCGTCATCATCTGCGTCGTCGATGTCTTTAATCAACCTCGGGTGCGAGTGCCGGATGTACCATTCCATGTAGTGCTGGTCACACATGGCAGTCACCCCACTTGGCGGCCGCTGCAGCTCCGCCGTCCATAGGCGGGCAACCATCGGAAACTGCTCCCACATGGATATCATGTTTGACGGCCATTGGACGACGTACTCCTTCGACGACGCAGATCGTACCGCCTTACTGGGCCATGCCGGTGGAGGTGGGACAACTTGGACAAATCCAAGCTGGCGAAGACAGCGCTGCGGCATGTACGCCTCTACGATCTCGCGATACTGAATCAGTCCAGTGTAGAGGGTCCTGGGTACCCTATTACTAGGGTTCTGGCCGAAAGGCATCCAGTTCACCTGCACATTATTTAAAATCAGTAACAGTCATAAAATAAAGCATCAGATTGTAAAAGTAGAAATAATTTAATCACTGTACCTCTAAGGGGGACATCCTGTCAAGCGATAACCGTATGGAGCGCAGGCGGTCAACGGACTTCTTCTCGACACGCGGACTCCACGCACAGGCACGTGGCTGGCCATCACCAATGGGAACCGGGTCGCGGTGTGGTCGAAACGCAGGAAAATACTCGTATATCCAGGTCTGTAACAACGTCAGACATCCAGTGATACCTGCTGCATCAGCCCGGCTCGAGAATCCTAACTGGCGATACAGATACGCCAGCGTAGCCGACCCCCAAGAAAACTGGCCTACTCTGTCGGGCTCACACGCGTCAACTATGTCGCGTGGCCTGAGCTTGTTCCCGCTCTTATCCGGAAACAAGGTACACCCGAGAAGAAGAAAAACATATGCAGCCAGCTGTGTGTCCTGCGTCCTACGTGCCGTAGGGTGCAAACATCGCTGCAAGACGGCTGCGATCTTAACGCCGCCGTGATCCCACACACCAAGTGCCGATGTGTACAGCGCAGCCCTATCCACCGCCAACAGCTCCGCTAGTAAATCTGCCTGATCCGCATCAGTGACGACAGATGCTCGGTTTCCCTCCACGGGAATCCCAAGGATGGCCTCGACGTCATGCAACATGATCGTCATCTCACCGAACGGAAGGTGGAACGAGTTCGTATCCGGCTGCCATCGCTCAACGAAAGCCGTGATCAGCGTCCAGTCAATCCTGTCGTGCATGGTGGCAAGAAGGTGACTCACTCTAGTGGCCCTCAATCGCCCGACCATCTCGCTCTCCTCCGGCCAAGCATCAGCCCAGCTACACAAAAACCTACAAGTCTTTTCCCGGGTTTGGCATTTCAAAATGCCTGTATCCAAAGCCCTCTCCTGGTCCTCCCAAATACGGGTAGCGATGTGTCCTAAAAAGCTAGGAATCACACTCCCGTCTATAGGTCCCCCGGCCACCTCACCCCTCACCATCCAAGAATCATTAACGGCCCTCGACCGTTTTCTGCTACCCGCAGACACAGTGGACGCAGATGATGTGCCAGATCTACTAACAAACCTACCATCTCGACCCTTACGCACATCTACCCTATGCGTCTCATACGTATCATCAAGTCTCTGACTGAATGGACCGTAATCATCATATGGTCCACTCTGATCGTCGACATCCTCATCTGCATCATCCTCGTCCTCGACCTCCTCCTCCTCGACCTCCTCCTCCTCCTCCTCCTCATCATCATCATCATCTTGATCGTCCGCAGAACAGTGCACCCGTTCTCTGCGGGCCGAGGCCGAAATACCACGGGATCTAACGTGTCTGGGCCCCGAGCTCTCCATTGAGTATATCGTACTCCTCACGACGTCAATACTCTTCCCCGCACCAGGTCTAAATTGCGATGCCTAACTCCAAGTAAATAACGAAACATAATAACGAAAACAAATTAAAAAAAGTCGAAAATAAACACAAAAGCAAATAAACATGTCACGGAAATAAAATTATAAACATAAAAAATATAAAATTAAAACAAATAAAAAAACAAAATTTAAAAAAAAAAAGATAAAAAAAAAAGGGAACATACAATTTAAAATAAAGAAAAACAAATTTTTTAAAAAAAAAAAAAAAAAAAAAACGAAAATAAAATTTAAAATTAAAAAAAAACAAAAAAAAAATTTAAAAAAAAAAAAAAAGAACGAGGCGCCTAGGCAAGGCGCCCTTGCGGTGGTGTCGGCGCCTAGCCCAGACGCCACTACCACGGCCGTGGCGCCTAGCCTCTGCGCCGCCGCCGTGGTGTTGGCGTCTGGGCTAGGCGCCGCCACCACCGTACGGGCGCCTTGCCTAGGCGCCTCCTCCGTGGTGGTGGCGTCTCTCCTTGGCGCCACACCGTCGCCGGAGGTTTTTTTTTTTAAAAAAAATTACAAAAATTAGAAAAATTACCTTCTGGCCGGCAAACCGCCTTCCGCCCACCGCCGGTGCCGCCACTTCCTTGCCGGGCCGCCTCGACATAGCTTTGGAAATAATTTAGAGAGAGAAAGTGGAAGTAGAGAGTAGAGAGAGAAATTGTGTGTTTTTTAGTATGAGGGCAAAAGTGTCATTTCACTCTTATTTTGTGGGCTTTATGTAGGAATTTGCGGGCGATGTTTAACAGTTCACTTTCAACTTCGTACTTCTTACAGTTCTGCTCTCTAAACTTCAACTATTTGTTTTCCCTTATTAGCAACATTTTAGGCTCTTATATTTTGTTCTGTTTTGTTCAATTATTTTCCCGACGAAAATAAAATTTAAAGATCATGCATTTGGTTTATTTATTTAATGATTTTGGATGGAGTGAAGCATAAATGAGTTAAATTAATTTATGTGATTATGATTTTATATATTTGAGTATTTAGCTGCTTTCAAAAAAAAAAAATTAATAATGAGTATTTAGCTGGTTTATAAAAAAAAATTGAGTATTTAGCTCAACAGTCTATATCAAGTTATCAATTCTGTTTCTTCAAAAAAAAAAATTACTCTGCTCTCTTACCCTCTATTTTCTTACAAAAATGCCAAAATCTTATGTGAAAATGATTACATGAATGGCTCAAGATCGAATGATTCCGTGCTCAATACATGATACCAGATACTACTCCCTCTGTTTTTTTTTAAATGCCCCTAGTAATAACACGCATGCTGATGTAAAACTTTGACCAATAATATTTTTAATTATCATTAACTATAAATTATAACAATTGAATATTAATAATCTATTTATTGAGATGATTTCAACAAGTATCCACAAAACTTTATTTTTTCTTATGTATAATTCACAAACAATGGTTAAAATAAGACTAATGAATAGTGCCAAAATTTGAAATGGGACACTTAAAAAACACCGAGAGAGTTCACTTACTCAGAAAAGATGATAAGGAGGATGTTTTGGACATAAATTAATGTGATGATAATGCAAGTCCGACGTCCGAACTCTTAGCTTTAAAAGTAGAAATCATTAATCATGCAGTTGTTGAATTCTTAGCCAGATCATTGGAACAGTGTATGAACTTCTAATGTACCTTAATCATGATACATTACTACAACTTAAAAACTGCATACTTAAAGCATATTAGATGATTAAACATGTCTGTAAATCTGTAATACATACGAAATCTCCCAACTTCGCCTAGATCAGATCTTTCAATGGTACTGCAGATCGATGCTTGAACTTAGTGTCGCACCATTCCAGAAGGCACTTGTGGAGGCATCGCGATTCCAGGGTTTTGTCTTTCCATGTTGCCATACCATCCTAAACACATTCACAAATATTTTCAATCATCACGTTCATAAACTTAACGTTATATATCAGCGCACATTCAGCACATAATTGCTTTGACATATGAGAGATTGGCTACCGAGTGCAAGACGGTAGCCGCGGTGTTGAAGCTCACGGTACTCTTGACATAAGGCACAATACTCACAGAAGCAGTGGGAACAGAAATCCGCACAGTAGTTCTCTCGAATTCCAAGCTGTGCCTTCAACTTTGAGCGGTATGTGCACGAGTATATCGAATGGCAGCCGGTTAAGCAGCAAAGTAGAGTATACAATGTTCCGCTTGTACTACATGCTGCACCACATCCATCAGTGAAATTTGTCACATACATTGATAATTTGATACTGATAATAATAGCCATACCATGAGAATAAGATTACATAAATAGTAGTGTAATAGTATCATCTAAAAACTACGAATACAACTACTTTCATCTGTCTATATATAGTTGTCACATTAATAGATCAGATTCAATGTGTTAACTAATTCCTAATATGTTTCAAAAAAAAGTTAATTCCTAATAGAGGGAGTACTAAAGTTAGACATAGCTAGCGGTTCGGATTACATAATATTGTACACTTACATGTCGAGCCTCTGTCAACGATCTCTGCTATCCGTCCAAAGGTGATGCAGGGACTCCAACATGTTAGGCAACCTGTAGAATTAGGATTGTTAGGGGATAAAATTGAGCTTGCAAACTATAGTTATTGTAGTGATTTTGGAACAAGGCAAATTCATGCTATCAAAATCAGATAACATCAAATGTGTTGTCAAAAAAGTACTAATAAAATACAAAAGAAAGATTACATCAAATAATGCGCTAGACATTTAGTGGCAAAGCTAGAGATTATAGAAATAAGATTTTATGTATGTTAAGATAGATGAATTGAACTAGCTAGGCCCTTTAAGAGTAAGTGAATGGTGGCTAATTGACTACTCCTTCTGTCTCTATTTTTTTTTTTTTGTCGTATTTGACTTTTTATGGTCTCCAAGACACGTCTTAAAACATACATAACTTCATTTCTATACGCGTAAAAATTATAAAATCTTGATATTTATAAAATATACAATGAGACGAATCTAACCAAATCACACATGCCTATATTAGCATTTATAAATTAATGGGTATTTATGGTCAAATTTTTTAAAATTTAACCCCAATTATTTGCAATAGGGCAAAAAAAAAAAAAAGGGGATAGAGGAAGTATATATGCATGTTAAACAAACTAAACAAGCAAAGATTCTTCTATACACTTGGATGCGCCTAAACAAGCTAACTTGTTCCTTTATTTGTTTTCTTTTAATTTATGTACAAGAGAAAACATGTAATATAATAATATATCCCTTGGTAACTCTCAAAAATTAGTATGTAGTCATCCGGAGTATGCAACTTGCTCTTGCCATTTTTTTTTTTTCTCTTTACACTGATAAATTAGTTGGATCTAAGTTTTTAATTTTCTGCCTATAAATAGCCATTGTTGATATGATGATAAATTGATAAGAGCGAGGTTGCACATGGCTTTCCATACTATTTTAAGTACTTGTCTCAAAATTTAATCAAAATTATATCCGTAGTACTTTTTATTAATTTCAAAAAAATTTGTAGGAGCAAGTTTTACTTTTATAAATTGATATACTTTGACTTGTGACACTATTTAGAAACTCTAATTTGACTAACTTTTATGATTCTACCTAGTCATGTGAGATTTTGTTAGATTCGTCTTGATACACTACCTCCATTTTTTATTAATTACAATAAAGGGTTACTATTTGTGAAATAAAATATTCATTTGTTGCAAATAATAAGAAACAAAGGTAGTATAATTTTCACTTACTGATAATTAAAGCATTAGTGATTAAACTTTTACATCGGCAAACATAATAAAGAAAACATGTTAACTATTGAGTATAAAAAAAAAATAAAAAAATAAAAAAATAAAAGAACAGAGGAATTTTTTTTTTTTTTTTTTTTGGTTGGGTACGTGCTAAAAATCTCCGCTAGGACATTGATACTGGCCATACTGCGGTGCAGGCTGAGGAGCATAGGGCTGCTGGCCATACATGATCAACGAATAATATGAAACACAAAAATTATGATGGAATTACGAAATGATGTATTATGGAGCTAACTTAAGTGATTTTGGAGGACTAAACTATAGATTTAGTATGCAAAAGACTGAAAGTTATAAATCTATTGATGTAGTACAAGACAGCCTGCCTAGATGTAGTTGCATTGAATTTTCTAACCACTCAATGTTTGTAGATAAGGTTTTAACGACGACTTTGTCAAGAAGACTTACATAAGTTGCCCCAGTCAATACGAATGATTTTGGTACTATCCAAGCAGCCAAGAAATTTCTTATCTTTGGAAGAAAATCTGTGGTTCATGCCCTTCTTTATCCGTATTTGAGACATAGTATACTCGTAGTAAAGAACCCTTGTGTTTCATTATATGTGTTATCTTAATTAGATTTGACGTTTTTGAAAACATATAGCAATAAATTTGTATACTCTTTAACTTGAGAGAATTCAGTTCCAACTTCGGATCCACTAATGATGAGTTGATATTAAAGGGGAATAGGATGCAAGAGGATTATATTATTTACAATGAAGTGTGTACGGTTTTAGATAAGTCCAAATTAAGAATTTCCTAAGTTGTTAGTGTAACATAAATTAATTGTTAGTGATGATGAAGCCTCATTTTGGGAATTGAACAATATATTATCTTATGGTAAATTATAATGTAATTGGAGCACCATGTTTAGGGCTCCTTTCGGAGCAATCACAACAAGCGCGCCTTGTAAGGTTGGTGTGCGTGACATACATGTATATATAGCACATGAGTTAGCACATGAGTGACATGCACCAACCTTAAGCGTGTGAGTTAGCATCTTTAGATCTTTACTAATGGGCATTGGTGAAAATACAAAACTACTCATTTAATCAAAAGGAGGATCGGTATTTAAGATCCTTCAGCTGACCAACCATTCTAGTTAGTTATAAAAGGCCATGCACCAGCTATCTAATTTTATCAATGAAGGTTCTTCGATTATTGCTTTTAAAATTAATGAACATTTCAAAAATCATACTTGTATATTGTAATAGAATCACCGAGAAACATGGGACAAAAAAAAAAAAAAAAAAAAAAAAAAAAAAAAAAAAAAAAAAACAGTAAATAAATTGCCTGGATCAACTGGATGTAATTAGTTGAAGATTTTCTTAAATCAATCTACAAATATTGTTCCTTTTATAGATAAATCAATTTTCTTATTTTATATTTCTATTACTCCAACTATTTTAGATTATGGGGAGTAGCCTTGAGAAAAAACAAGCCTAATCTTTTCTCAACTTGGCATTGGTGGCTTAATTGTAGTTGCTCAGCAAAGTTTTGAAGATATAAATTGGTTGGTACGGTTGATCCTGTGCATCTTAAAAACCCAGCGGATGGTTCAAGGATCATGGGCCCAATTGTTTGGACTTGTGTTGGACTCCAACGAAGTCATGTTGGCATGTACGAGTATACCAATTGTTTTCGATGGAGTTCAAATTTTGGTTAAAATTATTGAGTAATACAAGCTGTATATGTATGCCTCTATTGATTGATAAGTTTTCTTCACACGGCACAATTGGTGTGACTGAATGTACGACCCACGACTTTGATCATATGATAGAAATTTTGGCCTGGGTCATCTCGCCTTGTATGATACTTTCACAATTGACTGTGGTCGGAATGTCAATGCGAAGGGACAGATGCTGAAGATTACCTCTCTAACATGTAAAAAAAATTCTCTCATATTGTTAAGTTGGTAGGATGATGAATAACAACATAAAAGATTGATCACAAGTTCACAACCATGAGAAACCCCACTTCCACACCTTCCGCAAGCAAGAGGCAAAATCCACGTTAAGAAGGTGCATTCAAAGCCCTCATTTATCAATCCTGTGATTTCTGTTGTTTACTTTGTTGTTTCTTGCTTCATCCAGTGTGCTTTAATTAGTCTCAAATCATATAAATCTGTACTTCGTCTGAATCTGAATTAAGTGCAGCTTTATGGCCTTAATTATCTACAAAAGTCTATGAAATCACCAAGTTAAGGTCCTATAGTTGTTTATAGACAAATTAAATTAACGTCATATGTAAATACACTCTCATACGCATATGGAATCCAGAGTGCCAATTCCTACAATAGATACAATACAATCACGTCCAACCAAATGAAGTTGAGCTTCGGTTTTTTTTCCATTAAATCTGTGAGGCTGGTGTATAATGTACAGCCATGAGAGCAAATTGGGATTCTTGAGAACACAGACTGTTACAGTAATATTAAGCCATATTCAGTGAATTAGAGTACAGCGCACTCGATGAATAAATTTAGAGTACTGCTTTCGACTAATTTTTAATGAAAATTCTAACTAGGTCACACCATTTGCAGATATAATTCTATACTGCATTGGCAAAAAATCACACGACGTCCGACCTTCAGTAGCCAAGATTGGACAAAAATATCTAAAAGACATTAAAAAGAAATGGGGCAAAACATTATTGAATTAAAACACAATTCCACTTCTGTTTTACAAGATTGCACCAGTAGAGCATTTTTTTCTGCCAAATTCATATTGGCATATTGCTACCATGCAATTCAGAGAGCTTTCATAACTTCTAGTCTAGACACTAAAGTTAAAGTTACAACATCAGGTAAACAACAAGAGAACAACATCATCAGCAGTTCAAAATGAAGGGAGTGTTAGTAAGACAGCTAATTGACCTTCATCATTCAACATGGAAAGAAAACGAAAAATTTAAAGAGACCATTCAAAGATTTAACCTGTTTCTGAGTATCATCAGATTCTGTTCATGACTTGCCTGCTCAATTCCATATCAGCAAGAACCCAAACTCCAGCGGCACTATGGATATTTGAATTAACGTTTCAGTTGCCTTCTGGCTAATGCGGGGGCTTTCTTTGGGATATAGACCTTGTATCTTACCTACAAAGATACACGCAAAATACTCAAAGGATCAGATTCAATACTCTTACATATCATGACAACATGCAATAAAATCTATCTATAATTAAAATAAAACCTACCTGCACCATTTCACCACCCCGCATCACAGACATTGTCTTCTGCTGAAACTGTGCATCCTCATCGGCTTTATTGGTACTATCATTTGTGCATTGTTCATCAGAAACTGAAGCTAAAGCTGAAGCTGAAGCTGAAGCCGAAGCCTCAGAAAGAGCAAAAGTATCAACTTTTACAGTCCTATCTTCGGAATCAATTTGATGAGACGCAGAGTCCCTAGTAGAATCCTTACTAATAGTTTCTTGCGGTACAGAAAGTTTAGACAGAGAATTATCTAGTGACATCAGCCTCTCATTAGTATTCCTCACTATAGTTTCTTTAGGGGTAGACACGTTTTTCTGTAAAGATTCTTGTGAGATCAACTGTCGCTTCCAGGTATTCTTTGCTCCAAGAAAATCTTTCCTAGACATGGATAAGCCAACATTAGGTCTGCTATTAACAAAATCACCGGAGGCCTTACTCTTTTCTTCTGTATGGGCAGTTCCAACATTTGCCCTCAATAGATCAGCATTATTATCTTTAGACAGACCAGTATCTTCCAATGGACCAGGTAAATTAGTAGTATTACTAAAATATCTAACATCATTAACATTCTTCCCTACGTTTGGCACAAGTTTAATATTTCCCTCATCACGAGGTGTAGGTTGATCAATAGGTTGTGCCTTCACAATTGAAGACCTTTTCACTTCAACATCATGGTCATCTTTCTTATCAAAAGTAGTTTTGGTTGATAATTTTCCTTGGCGCTTGAGTAGATTCTCCAAGGCCTTCTGTCTTAAAATTGCTTCAAGATCCACATGATTTGAACCTGCATTCGAAGTTAAATCCGCACTCCTATTTTCCATCGAGGGAACATTGTCCCCGGACTTGACATAACTTGGACTTAATCCAGCACTTCCCTCAACAACCCGTCTTTGGATTCCCGGGATATCTGAAGTCCTGACAGCAGAAGCAACAGAATCCTTACTTGGCTCATCCAAGGACCTTTTCTTAGAACTAACATCATGCATACATGAAACAGCTTCTCTTCCACTAACACCATCAATACTATCATTGCTCTTGCTAGGATAGTCATCATACTCAAACACAATTTCATCTTCATGCCTATCATCCTTATTCAACTCTTGTTCTTCAGGGACCTCTCTATCCTTCATAACAACTATAACAGATTTCAGTCTCTTAGGATTACTCTTCTCGAACACCCTCTCCTCGTTATAATGACTACTACTCTCACTATGCACGCTACATGGAGAGCAGCTTCTTGACCTATGCCTACTCCTCTTACTCCCACTCTTTTTCCTATCCTTTTCTCTCCCCTTTCGTTCCTTTGATTCTACCTTCTCTTCTTTCTTCCCAAATTCTCTCTCACTATCACCACTTGGTTCACCCACAGAGCAACTCCTAGACCGGCTACTTGAAGAACTAACGCTACGATCCCTCTTTCGCCTCTTCACATGCCGCTTCTTCCTAGAGTCAGAACCTCGCTTCCTCTTCGACTTCTTCAATTTCTTAGCACAAGGAGAGTCATCTCCACTGCTCTCACTCAACAAAGTGCTTTTCTTACTCCTCTTCTTATCTTTCCTACGCCTTTTGTCCCTAGACCTACCTCTCTTCTTACTCCTAGAATCATTCCCTGGACTCGAACACGATACCGACTTAGAAGTGATCGAATCCTCATCAGAAAACAAAACCGAATCATCCCGTTGTTTTAATTTCTTGGGTTTCTCCCTACTGCTCTTAGTTCTCTTCTTGCTATGTTTCTGCTCAGATTGCAATCGTTGCACATACATATATAAGCATCAAAATTGAACCACCAATTCATAAACAATATCATCTAGATTGCAATGAACCAATAAATACCCAATAACCGAATATTTAAATTACCAATCAATAATAAGCCATATATACAATATATTAATTAAATATAAATATCAAGAAACCTAAATCAAACAAATAAACAGCAGAAATTATAAATTTTGGAAAATTAATGTAATAAATTCACAAATTAATCCATCCAAAAAACGTCAAAATAATCAATAAGATTGAGAACCTGAGATCGTTTCGTCTTGCGTTTGGATGAACGCGAACTACTTTTCATGGCGAAAAAATTCAGAGAAACAAACAAATTAGAAGAAAAAATAAACACAAATAAACAAGCATAAAAAACAGCAATAAATTAGGGTTAGAATATAGAAATTACAATTAAGTAGGTTAGATTTAGAGGCGAAGATTGATAAAATTGATTTGCAAAATCAGGAAAAATTTAGGGGAAAATTGTAGTTGAGAAGTTGGAATCAAAGTAGGGGAGAATGAGAGCATCGAGTTTGGCTTGGCTGTTGGTTAATCCATGATCTAAATTCTAAATAGCCATCAAGTTTTGTTAATTATTTTTAATGGTCAAAAACTTTTTAAATTATCTAAAGTAGTCATGTAAATATTGTAACTTTATTAATCACAATACTAATGATCATTATTAGTCACTTTTAAAATTAAAAAGTAAATATAATTAACCTATGGTTAAATTAAGAAAAAAAAAATTACCATTGTATTACGTAGGTATTAACTCTCCCTCTCTCTCCAACTACAAACATCACTTCCATGAACTCATATTCAGAAACCATCCATTTCCATTCTCCACCATAATTTGAAATTCGAATACCATCTTCTACCTTTCAATTTTTCGACCTTAGAACTAGGATTCGAGATATATTCTGAAATTTACGACAAAGGTGGATCGGAGTAGAATTGGGTTTTTTTTTTTCAACCATTGAAGTTTACAAAATTTTGGGCTGCGATTGAATTCGATGGACAACGTCTGGGTTGTGGTTGAATTTCCATATAAAGATCCTATCTTTATTGCATACATATTCAGGTATGTACTAGCTCAAAGTTTTCAATTGAGTTAATTGATTTCGTGTTCTTGATTTTAACGTACTTTGTTTTGTGATAGTAGGTCGTGTTTTTCGATTGGAATGTAGGGTTTTTTATATAGTGTTATAGAGTTTTTTCGTGGATTAATTATATGTAGAATGGGGGGTCATTATTAGCATATTTGATATATATTAATCTGTTGTGTTGTATTTGTTGCAGAATGAATGACCCAATAGTGCTAAGTTTCAATACTGAAGAACTACGAGAATGGAAGAGTATAAGAATTGCGGAGAAGCAAGATTAATGGGTTTTCTCAGATTTAAGAAGGGGAAATGATTTGGAGGGAAAAAGGATGTTTACAGTTTGGAGGGAAAGTAATAAGTAAGGGTGTTAATAGTAATCGTATTACTTAATTACACTTAAGTTAACCATAGTTATCCACTTATCCCTCGAAAAAAAAGTTAACTATAGTTACTTATTAGTCTTAAAAGTGGCTAATAATGGTCATTAGTGTTATAATTAATAAAGTTACAATATTATACGGCTAATTTAGATAATTTAAAAAGTTTTTGGCCACCAAAGATAATTAGCAAAATTTGATGGCTACCAATGAGAATTTCCCAATTCTATTTCCTCAAAAAAAAAAAGAAAAAAAAAAGAATTTCCCAATTCTAAAATTAAATGTTTTATCCCCATTTTAAATTCTCTGCAAAATCTTCGGGTTATTCACTATAGATTTGGTGACAAATCCTTGTTTCGACGCGTTTAGGCCCTATTCTTTTGAGCTACTCTGCTCTGCCCTGGCCTACTTTGCTCAGCCTGCTGAAATCTGTTCTGCTCTGCTGAAATCTGCTCTTCTACTCGGTTTAAAAATAATAATTAATAATAACAATAATAATAATTAATATTTAATAATAATAATAATTAATATTAATTATCATTAATATAATTAATATTTAATAATCATAATAATAATAATTAATAATTTACAATAAAAATAAAAATAATTAATATATAATAATATTAATTAATAATTAAAAATAATAATAATGATTAATAATTAATAACAATTTCTAATTTTATTCGAATGCATACACTTGGCATACTAATCATTCAACATGATGTGAATCAAGGAGTAGCAGATTCAACTATGTTTGCACAATGGCGCAAAGATAGTATGGACGTAGTGCGACATCGTACAGCACGCCGAATTTGGAGGGCTAATGATCGGAAAGAGACAATGAAGGTGATGACAATGAAGATCAAAGCGAGAATGAAGAGATGATGACAATGTAGTTCATATGGAAGTAGATGGTTAATTCACCACAATATTAAATTCTTATCTAATTATGTTCCTATATAGATATGTGCTTGTAATAATTTAAAGATGTTAAACTATTGTCTTTTATCTTTCTACTATTAAGATATGTTAAAGACGGTACACATCTATTTATGTTTTCATTCACCTAAACCAATTGTATGCACTTGTTAATAATAATAATAATAATAATAATAATAATAATAATAATAATAATAATAATAATAATAATAATAATAATAATAATAACATTAATGATGACGACGACGACGACAACAACAACAATAATAATAATAATAATAATAATAATAATAATAATGCGATAATAATATTAATACTACTTAAAATAAAATAATAATAATATTAATAATAAAAAAATAATGATAATAATAATAAGGAAAAATTCATGGGAATAATCCCACCTTTGCACCGTTCGTTTTTAATAATCCCACCTTTGAGTTATTTTTTAATAATCCGACCTTTACCCCCCATTCTTTTTTAATGGTCCCAACAGGTCATGTAACCTGTTATAATAGGTTACATAACACGTGGCGACCCTTAATTGGTCAAAAATAAAAATAAAAAACAATAAAAAAAAAAGTAAAAATTATACTTAATTAAAAAAAAAAAAAAAAAAAAAAAAACCTACCAGCCAATTCCCTTCCCCCTCCCCTTGAACCACCAACTTCACCAAGTTTCCGGCTCCCTCCCCTACCCCTGTCCCTTTTTCGGCCACTTCCCCTTCCCCCCGAATTCGACCCCCCTCCGGCAGACGCGCCCACTATCCCACCTTCGCAACAATCACCGCCACCACTGCACCCCCTTTTCCGGGTTTCGGGTTTTATGAGACAAAACAATTTTTTGGTGGTGTTGGTTGGGGGATTAGGGTTTATGGGGGCCGGAAAACATGGTAAGAGGTGGTTTCGGGCTGCGGTAGTCGGGAAGGGGTGGAATGGGTGGGGCGAAGGTGGAGGTTGCGGTTTTCGTGGTTTAGGGTTCGTTTGGATGGGTGGGGCGAGGGTGGTTCAAGGGGAGGGGATTCTAGTTTCGTGAGGGAGTGGGGGTTCGAGGGTGGTTCAGGGGAGGGGTGGCAGGGGAGGTTGGTGCGCTAGGATCGGTGGCAGGGGCGTTTGGATGGGTGGGGTGAGGGTGGTTCAAGGGGAGGGGATTCTAGTTTCGTGAGGGAAAGGGGTGGTTCAGGGGGAGGGGGTTCGATTCGAGGGTGGTTCAAGGGAGGGGGTTCGAGGGTGGTTCAGGGGAGGGGTGGCAGGGGAGGTCGGCGCGCTGGGAACGGTGGGGAGAAGGGAGCTGCGTGAAGGGGAGGGGGAGAGAGAATGGTGGCAGGGGTGGTGGGGAAGATGGTGGCAGGGATGGTTTTGTTTTTTTTTTTTTATTTCTTTTTTTTTGTAAAAATTATCAAGATTTATAAATTAAGAAAAAATGAATTTTGTTTTTAATTTAAAATTTTAGACAAATTGCATAGTGACACGTGTGTTTAAAACCAAAAAAAAAAAAAATTGACCGGTTTAACCGGTTTCTAGTCAAATGGGACCATTAAAAAAGAATGGGGGGTAAAGGTCAGATTATTAAAAAATAACTCAAAGGTGGGATTATTAAAAACGAACGGTGCAAAGGTGGGATTATTCCCATGAATTTTTCCTAATAATAATAATAATAATAATAATAATAATAATAATAATGATAATGATAATAAAAATAATAATAATATTAGTAGTAACGATGATGATAATAATAATAATAATGATAATGATGATAATAATAATAAAATAATGCGATAATAATGTTAATAATACTTAAAACAAAATAATAATAATATTAATAATAAAAAATAATGATAATAATAATAATAAAAATAATAATAATATTAGTAGTAACGATGATGATGATGATGATGATGATGATAATAATAATAATAATAATAATAATAATAATAATAATAATAATAATAATGAAATCTGCTCTGTGCTGCTCTACTCTGCCAGAAGCTCAAAAGAACAGGGCCTTAGTTCACCTTATTTTTGCTAATCTAATCTAATACAAAGTATAAGATTATGGTATGTTCTCTTCACCTTGTTTTTATTAATTTATACTTATTTTTACTGATTATTTACTATATAAGGAGTATTAACTTTGCTGGGGGTTGGGCTCACATGACAACACCTTGCAAAAATTGTGAGGTGGAGGTCGCCACTTGGGAACAAATGTTGGGTTGCACCAAGCTTAGCCTACCTTACAAAACCTTATCTTTGCCCAATAGATAATGTAACACCCCCAAATCTCCCACTACGTAAATACTATATTTATACGTATAAAATACCATAGAGATAGAGTTGGGCGTATTACCATCACGTGAAAACGTAAGGCTTACTCAACTACTAAAAATGGCAGCGGAAAATAACTGACTTTATTAATATTATAATAACCATAATATATAGTTTGAAAATACTCCAAATAAAAACATGTCTGACTCATGAATGAGTAAATTCCTAACTAGGTGATCCCAATCCCGACTTAAGTATGCGCACGATCAACTCCACTCCTGAAATCAAAACTGCTTACCAATAATGGTAAATAGGGCGAACCAAAACAAAAAGGAAAACAGATTAGCAAAAACTCTAAGTACATATAAGTGCAAGGCATGTAAATACTTTTATTAGGTAAACATGCTTTCGAAATAATTTAATTTCTTAAATTTAAACATGCCAAAATATGACTTTCTCAAAAATTCAACACTTTCCAAAAATTAGACTTATTTCCAAAACCGATTTTCCTCACCTAAGTGTGCACTCCCCCCAAGCAAGTTAAACTATACTCGAGAAAAGACCAGATCATACAAAGTTCATGGTCTTACTTAACCAGTCGTCCTGGGTAGAAGGACAATAAATATCAAATACTCATGCCCATAATGAGCAGCAAATTTAATTCAATTCCTTTAATTCAATAACTTGTAACCAGTGATCTATTAACAAATTTTATTAAATTAATCAAACCTTAAAGTCGTAAAATTATATTTTTAACTCGTCACGAAAATCATTAACTCAAATCTTTCATACGCAATATTTAAACAATTAATATAAATAAACATTCATCAAAACACGCATTTAAAAACTACTTGTATTAAGGACTTAGCCACCTATACGTACCTTGATCACGAGAAATAAAGGTACGGCTACACTTGGTCA